GCCAGACATACCAGATTGCGAACGCATCTCCTACCGCTGCGTCATCCGGATCCGACCTGAATGGCATGGCTGTCAAGAACGCATGCGATCAAATCAACGAACGCTTGAGACCATATCGCGAGAAGCTAGGAAAAGATGCGCCACTGAAGGCGCTCGCTCATGCAGCTTATGTCGATCGTGTCAACCTCGCTGCGAATGGCTTTTGGAAGATGCCAAAGGTCGGATACACCTGGGGCGACACAAACTTGGAAACTGTCAAGCCCATGTACTACTACTGGACCCAAGGAGCGTGTTGTTCTGAAGTCGAACTTGACCTACTCACTGGCGACCACACCGTGCTACGAACAGATATCATGATGGTGAGTGCTACTGCACATGCATTCATTTCAACGTGCTAACGAAGCTTCAGGATGTCGGCAACTCCATCAACCCAGCAATAGACTATGGACAAATCGAAGGCGCATTCATCCAAGGCCAAGGTCTCTTCACCATCGAAGAGACACTCTGGACTCGAAACGGCCAGCTTTTCACTCGGGGTCCTGGTACATACAAGATCCCCGGCTTCAGCGATATCCCACAGGTCTTCAACGCCAGTATGCTTCGTCATGATAACGACGGTAACCCGCTGTCGTGGAACCACTTGAGAAGTGTGCAAAGTTCCAAGGGTATTGGTGAGCCACCGCTCTTCTTGGGGTCGACGGTGTTCTTCGCACTGAGAGAGGCTGTGTTGGCAGCGAGGAAAATGAACGGGAAGAAAGACGAGGGGTGGAATTTGGATAGTCCGGCAACCTGTGAGAGGCTGAGGTTGGCGGTTGGAGATGACCTTGTCGACCGGGCAAGAACGGTAAAGAAAGAGGGTGAGACGAATTTCTTGGTTGCTGTAGCATGATCACGGGTATGAGGAAATGGCGTTCACCATTCCATGTATTATTTCATTCAATGCAGGTGTTCTTTCATACACGGCGCCTCTCTTGCGCATTGCTCTTTTTGCGAGGTTTGACGCGTCCCGCACGCGTGCTGCTCTTTGCTTGGCAAGAACATAAGTTGATGCTATCGCCCGTTTCAACACCTCCTACAGCGAATACACTGGTCCTTTTCCGATAGCCTTCATTACAATCCCGTCGGTTGAGAAATGCCTATCGCGCAGCTTATCGGAAAGCGAAGCCGGTAACGATGACCTCAGCGGTGGCATGACTAATGGTCGCGCGGCAGTGTGTCAAGGAAGTCGCGTCGGGCCATGATAGAGCAGCTACCAACACCAACCGCACCCCTTGCATCAATGCAGCTTGCCTGAACAGGTTCCTAGAACTCCCGTATCCTCCAATATGACAGCTCCACATGAGGCCACCATGATCTATCCCTATGCGAACCACGCGCGGCGGAGATAACCGCAAATTCTCCGCGCCTTGCTGCTGACGCGCCCGACAATCGAGCAGCATCGTCAACCACAGCCTACGTACCTGCTGCCGTTTGCAAGGTCGACACACGGAAACCAAGATGCGATGAACGCGCTTGACGATGAATGTTGATGGCGTTGGGAAACCTCACCCCCACTCTTGGAAATGCGTTCCCAAAGCTACGCCACCACGCGCAACCCCGCTCACTAGCGGCACGACTCAACTCCACACTCGGCCGCGATAGTCGGACTTCTCGACCCCGATAAGCATGCCTCTATCCGACGCGATATCGTATAGCATTCCGTGAAGCGGAGTCTTGAGCCTCTCTTCACCCCATTTCATCTCCAGTGCCCCCATCCTTTGATCAGATCATCGAAATAATCTCTCGGTTTCTGCGCTATGGCATCCACTACTGTCGACAGTGCGAGCTCAGGGACCCGCGGGCGCAAGAGAAGGAACTTGAGCAAGAATGAAGGCAAGAAATTTGTCTGCACGAATGACGGGTGTGGGCGGTCTTTCACTAGAGCCGAACATTTGCAAAGGCATTTGCTGAATCATTCGACGGGGGAATACACTTGTGATCGATGCAGGGCTCACTTTAAGCGGAGAGATCTTCTTGGTAAGAATGATGCACTTTTTCCTTGGCTTCAAGAATGCATGGCTGTTCGTGCCCGTGAGCTGCTCTTCGCTGAGACGCACGGAACTACATGCCCTCAAGATGCCGCGCTCCTTTCGTGCTACAAGATGGAAGAGTTTCCTATCATATACCGTATCTAGACTCCTGTGTGTTGTGTCTCGCATCGGATGTGTAGCATCGCATCGTTGCTCTAGTATCGATCGTGGTCACTAACCCATTTGCGCAGAGAGGCACATCAGTCGCCATCGGCAAAAAGACGAAGAAGCCGGCGCTGAGGGTTGTGGAGTGCTCAATACCCGAAAGCGAATGTGGAAAGATGCCGAAGGCAAGATAGTCACGAAGAAGCCCAATTTATCTAAAGACCGTCAGAGAACCGGGTCGCTGACGCTATCGCAAACCGAGGACCTCTTGCAGTCGATGCCAGACTTCGCCGAGTTTGCAACACATCAGAGCCTTCCTATATCACCACCGACATCGAATGGGCCATCCCTACCCCATTCATTGGACGATAGAGATTCCGGCATAGGAATTAACTATCCCCAAACAATCCTCGATCCGAATAGCATTCCTTTATCTAGTTCATACTCGCCCACAGAACAGCGCTTCTGGTCCGCTAATAACACGCAGTCATCAGCCGAGCCATTTACCTCTGCGATTTACGACAATGCGCCATTTGACGAGATATTCAACCCAGATACAGCAAGTTCTTTCAATGCGCCCTTCACAACCATGAGTAACTACAACTGGCTCTTTGATATGGACTGGACGAGAAATGATCAGGCTCAACAAACGATCATAGAAGACCCATTCCCTGCCCTACCCTTCGAGAACAATACGGTCTCTCAATCGATTCAGGGTTTGGATTTTCAATTGGATCAGGTGGACATGGAAGGTCCACTATCGACGGTCGGCCAGTTTGGCTCACTTCCGTCCCAGCCAAATGAGCCTCTTCACCACCAGCACCACCACTCACCAACTGCGCAATTGATCACGCCGCCGATCGACGAGGCGAACAAGACAGCTGGTTCGCCGTCTAATTACGAGTCCTCCGTATCAGCCACAGGCAATGCTCCCCTCGACGTTGAACGACCGCTGTCTTTGCTGCAACCGTCGCGAAGCCTACCGATTATTGATGAGTTAGCTCGTCAGCAGTTACTTGACCTTATTGACATCGTACAACCTACAGTACCAGATGGCAGTATAGTCATGCGAGACCACCCGCTACTCTCGTTATCATGCTTGCAAACATACTGCGACCTGTTCTTCACGCGCTTCAATACCACATATCCGTTGATACACATGTCTACTTTTGACCCATCAGAAGTCGACACACTTCTCCTTGTATCAGTCTTGCTGTTAGGCGCAACATATGGAGAGAAAGACGCACACCAGCTCGCAGTAAGTGAACTCGCAATATGGTCTCCAAGCTCCGACTGACTCGAACTAGGTATGCATCCATGACGTGCTGCGGCCACAGATCTTTGCCAATGCCGGCTTTTCGGCGAAGCCAGATCTCTGGGTCCTTCAAAGTATCCTATTGGTCGAGTGTTTCGGTAAAAGCAGAGCTGGACAAAAGCAACACGATATGTCGCATCTTTTCCACGGCTTACTCATCAATCTCATTCGCCGCAGTGATTGCCAAAGTATCCGACCACCAACACCGGAAGAAGCCACGGATGATCTCGAAGATGACTGGCGGACATGGTGCGAAGCAGAGCAAAAGAAGAGGTATGTATTCATCAACTGAACCCTCACGGCACCTAGCTCAAAGTGCGCAGGCTGGCGTTCCTATGCTTCATGTGGGATACGCAACACGCAGTGCTTTTCTGCCAGTCGCTCTGCATGTCCGCTTTTGAACTCCGTTCCAACATGCCATGCGATCAGGCCATCTGGGAGGCCGACTCAGCCGAGACATGGCATCAGTTGCGACAGAAGCAGCCAACGACCCCATTGTTCCTATCGTGTCTGAAGATGTATCTTCACCCCGATGCTGCGACTATCCCTAAGAACCTGAACGCGCTGTCTCGGTCATTGCTTCTACATGGCCTAATGTCTGTAGCATGGGATATGCAACGGCGCGACCAGACATCGCTAGGCGTCATTGAGTCAAACCCACTCGGCAATTGGCAAGCTCGTCTCGCAGCTTCATATTCTGCGTGGCACGCAGACTACACTGCTTTCTGCGCCGCATATCTTTCGTCGCTTCCATCATCCACGCCCTTCCTCGCTAAAGAGTTCCACGTGTGCCGCACCGCCACACTGGCGCTTTACCACTCCGCACACATTCTCCTTCATACCCCCTTCCTGGACCTCCAAATCTACGCTGGCTCACGGCATATCCTTGGCCGCCCAGTCGCGCGCCATGACTACGCACGCTCTCAGCGTGTAGTCAAAAAATGGGTAGCGGAAAACACAGAAGAAGCCGGGAAAGCAGTCTGGCACGCCGCCGCTCTCGTCAGCGAAGGCGTAGAAGTTCTTGACGGCGACCTTAGCTGTTCAGACATTAGTGGAGGGAGACTTTGGCACCACCCTTGGGCCGTGTACCTTGGTACGTTGGTGGTATGGGGTGTATGGTATGCTCGGCCAACTCCACCACCACCTTCTGGCGATCAATTGCCGCAACATCTTCAGCATCTAGACGATGAGGATGAGATTATCTGGGATCCTGCTGCGGAAATGAGGATATTGCTTGGCGCTATTCTCGTAGCTCAACCTGAGAAGCTGCTTGAAACCGGCAGTGAAGGCGTTTTTGCTGGCGGTATGGGGAAGAGGGGGACGAATGGGCTTGCCGCCGTCGTGAGCAAGTGTTTGAGTAAGGTGCGGTGGGCTGTCGTTCATGATGGTATGATGGTACTTAGAGGGCTTGTACAGTGGCGTTTAGTTGGCGGTAGTGGTGGCCTATGAAATGCCAAGATCTAGAAACTCCATCGAGACATCTATCTCTTCGGCACCTAGTCGCTTCCTTCTCACCGTGTGATACCAAGCCATCTATGGCGGTGACCCAGAGTCCTTACAGGCTTCTTGTGTGGCCACTGTGCGTTCATCTTTGCTGATCTAGCCGGGCTATCATCGTTGGCGGTCGAGGATCGGGGACTAGGAGTCGAAGTACCCGAAACAGTGGTGGGCGTGTGCATGTTCTCTGCGTGTTTGGTGACATCGGCAGTCGATTCAGTTGTCGGGCTATCGTGCGTGGTTGCGTATTCTTCATAGAGTGTTTTCACCAGACTAGCAGCCCAGGACGAGTCACCTAACCCCAAGCGATATCGAATGGACGAACCGAGCGCAAAGGCCTTTAGCTCGCTAGCCAAGTTCAGCTCAAACTGAACGTACTCTGCTCTGGCGGCGGCCTTTGACTCCTGGTGTATGCGCTCGATACGTGATTTCTCTGCCCGATACCGCTTCGTGTGGGTTGATGTACAGGAGTGATACAATCGAGTTTTCGCAATCTTGAGCTGCTTGTTTGCGGCCGAATATCTCTGGGCGGCCAACTGCCTCGGGCCAGCGCACTCATCTAAATACCTCTTGCCATATACTGTTAGCAGATCTCTGTACTTTTGCGTCAGAATGACGAGGGAGCTATCTTCGACAAGCCAAGCAATGCTCTGAGCATCAGCAAGCAACTCCTCAAGACGGTCCAGATTCACCTCCGTGAACTCGTGTGCATACGCATTGCGGATGAAGCGAAGAGATTCAAGCCTTCTCTGGATGATCTTATAGAGGTGGCGCCAATGTTCGTCCTCGCTCAGGAGCTTTTCAAAGTCCCAGATAGATAAACCTTCGGGGTCATTCAAGTTCTTCTCTTGCATTACATCGGGAAAATAACGTCGGCCAAATACGAATATGGCTCGTTTGAACCGTTCATGAACATCACCCAGAATGTGGTGTTGGACTTGGTACGGCACCATGACCATGACGGGTTTCGAAGCTCCACGGGCCCGAGTGAACTCCGGACTAGAGCCCAACTGCTGACCTATCGTGTCTGTCTCTGGCTCGATTGACAACACAGACGTGTTTTCTGCACGGAGTCTCTCAAGATAGTCGCCGGAAAAGAGCAGCTTAAGGCTAGTAACCTTGTTTTGCTTTTCAAGGATATGTTTTGACATCCCATCAAGCTTTGTGGTTGGCTTCAGGTCCTCCAGTGTTTCATTATAGAATGAACTCTGAGCTGCGCGCCAACGCTCCATCTCTTGAATCTCCTGTCGTAGAGTAGAGTGAGAGGCTCTTGTGAACGGATTAAAGGGCCGCCTCAACGTCGCAGTATCGATGGATGCATGCCCGAGTATTCGAAGCTGTCGGTACGATTGGTCGATGTCGTGCAGGAGTGCAGTAATCGTGCGTTTCTGAAGGCTCTTTGCTGAGCCCCTAGTTTCGTATTCTCGTGCCTTCGCCAACAGTATCGCGGTCGTTTCACGAAAGAGCCTCGTTTGCTCATCCGGCGGTAGCCTTGGGGCAACGCGCCTGAACCAACCTTTTGCCATGTACTCATCATTGGCAAGCGACCTCTCAACGAAGTTGGTGAAAGATTTTCGGGGCTCCGCCTTCTCCTCCTCGGCATCCGTGCCGGGAGTCTCGTCACTTGCTTTGATCTGCTTCTCATATTCAACGATATGATCTTTGTGCTTACCCAAGAGCCGGAGTCGGCGTCTTAGGCGATCCCGTGGTGCCTTTTGTCCTGGCACTGTGCGCTTATACAATGATCTCGTCAGTATGATATGAGGCCGCAAAATCTCCAACAATGCAAGAGCCGCTGCTCTCTTATCAGAGGGTGTAGGTAAGAGTTTAACGTAATGCATCCATGGCATCGCGGTCGGGAAGCTTTTGTCGTCGTCGATCGCAGCGCTAAGTGAATGAATTGCAGCTTCATGCCGTGACTTGGCCTCTGATGTCACTTCGTGTACAACATCTGCATCGTGCTTCGTACTTGTATCCAGGGCTGTCCCATCGCCCATTGATGGGTCCTGTTGCTGGGTGGCACGCGTCTCTTCCTCATCATCTCGCTTCTGCAACCCTTGCGACGACCACCGTGACGACGAGAACTGTATGCCTGCTGGCCTGCGCGAGACTAGAACCTTGCTGTTCCAGCTTTGTCCCAGCGATGACGTTGCTGTATTTCGTGAAGCAAGCCATGCTCGGCAACTTGCGTGTGAACCGAGTGCAAGACTGCGCCAGAGAGTGTCAAAGTGCATCAATGATAAGGAATGTGCGATGAATCATCGAAATGGACGCGTGAAGGGTATGGCAACGCGACGACAATTGGGGCTGCTATCTCGAAGGAAAATGTGGATCGAAGAAGGCCGTGCGTGCTAGTGGCTGCGCTTACCGCATCGGGCGGTGTCAACGCCATTGCTTGAGGGCGGGAACAGCGGAACGCAAAGCAATCCCACCGGTGACTCTTGCAAAGAATGAGGTTGCATTCGTGTATACATTCCATCCACGCATCCTCTCGAAGTCACACAGAAAGATAAACGATGCAGCTCTGCCTAAGTGAAGTATCTCCACATCTCACTCTCTTCCCCGTCGCCCAATTCGCTAGTTCTCACATCATCCGCCCTCAGTCTAACACCTTGCACTTTGTCTCTGCGTCGATTCTCCAGCTTCATCCATCCTCCCAGCCACAGTGTGAAGCAGATACACGTAACATTACAAGCCGCAGTTGCATAAAGCGTCGGCAGATACTTTGGCGCATACTCCTGTCTAAAGGTTGCAGCGGAGACGATGCCTCCAAGGTTGCCGAGTCCGACCATGAGGCCGGTCGTAGCAGCACGAGCGTTCTCATTGAGATTGTTGTTGTTGTGCCAAGAGTGTACGAGACAGGAAGGCACGTACGCTCCTGCACATAGCAAAAAGCAAGCGAAATAAGCGACGGCTTTATTGTTGAGAACGTCGATGGTTGCGAGAACGATGAGTCCGGTGAGAGAGATGCAAAGAGCGCCGCAGATGTGGAACGTACGTTCGCGGAAGAAGTCGCTGCTGTACGTTATGCAGAGCAAGACGACGAAGCCCACCGCGTTTGGCGCTACGGTCCAGAGATTGGTCTTGATGACGGAGAACCCGAGGCGTTGGACAATTTGAGGCAGAAAGTTCGAGGTCGTGCTGAAAGCTACAGGGTAGGTGAAGGCGATGATGCACCAAGGAAGCATCTTCCACGTGTTCCACTCCTTGAAACACTCTCGCATGTTAAACTCGTGGGAGCCGGATGAGGATAGATCGCGCAGTGTGCGACGCTCGGCTACGTTGCGTTCAGCCTCGTTCAAGAACCACGCCGATTGAGGAGTCGCTGGCAACCAGGCATACGCTATCAAAGCGAGGACCACAGTAAGAGCGCCCTCTATGATGAAGAGAAACTTCCAGCCGGGAATGTTGGTATGCTCGATCTGAAAGACGCCGAAGGAGATGAGGCCGCTGAAAGCACCGGCAAGAAGCGCACTGCCAAAGAATAGTGCGATGCGGAAGCCGAGTTCGCCGCGCGTGTAGAAGAGCGTGAGGTAGAAGACGACGCCAGCGAAGAACCCGGCCTCGAAGGCACCGAGAAGGAGACGAATGACGAGCATGCCTGCGAAATTGTGTGCCGCGCACTGGAAGAGAGCCATTGCACCCCACCCTACCATCACTGCAGTTTATCATCAGCTTACGGTGAGTGATGCAAAAGAGGCGGACTTACAAGTCGGAAGCATGACTCTGCCACTCCATTTCTTTGTCAACATGTTGAGTGGAAGATCGCAAAGTCCGTTCGGAATGTAGAATAGCAAGATCAACAAGCTATACTGTTCGCCGGTAAAGCCGAGGTCCTTGTCCATCCCATCTGTCTTCGCATTGCCCAGGTTCGATCGGTCAACGCTTGTGCCGGGTCAGTCTGCCATAAGATCAGGATACAAGTGAGATGGACCCACCTGTTGAAGAAGTACATCAGCGAGAGAAACGGCAACAGATAGAAGTCGAGCTTTCGGACTGCATGATCCATCAATATGTGTACATTATTTCATGACGACGAGGTCAGAACATACCATAGGCGCTCTCAATGCTCTTATCGACAATGTCAATGACTATACCAGCTTCTTCTTTTAAGGTGCTGGATCCGGATAGCCTCTGACCTTTTTCTTCGATCATCGTGATATCCTTCTGCTGCTCGATTGGCATGGCAAGGTGCGCACTGAAGCAATGTAGAATTGAAAGGATCAAACTTGTTATAGAAGATGCTGCCTGGCTGCTACATTAAATTTGTTCTCACCGAAACACGATTGCTTTAAGGAGCATACCGTCGTATCATTTCTGAGTCGTCACTCATGTACAACGCCACTAAGCCTCCCCATCTTTGGTCTCAATGCACGTGCGTCTCTTTTGCCCAGCGCCACCAGATCAGCAGCGTAGCGTTCAAAGTGTCTATAACGAGCGAACTGCATGGTTGAGGCGGAAGGATCGCACTGAACATGACCTTTGTTGATAAACCGATAGTCCCAAAGAGGAGATGTTGATAAGAGTGGGGGAAGAGGCACATGCAGAGGACTGACTAGCTGCATCGCATATATGCTGGAGATAAGCGTACGCCTAGCTGATACCAAGCCGCAATGATGCATATGAGTTTGCGTGGAATGCGAGCCGAGATACAAAGCGCATGATGGTATGGAACAGCGGTAATCATAGTCATGAATCTATCTCTGCCAGGTTGATACCGTGAATATCCCCCAAATTCCAAAGCCATGCACTCGAATCTCGAAACCGTCGAGATAACCCAAAATGTCTGCTTCTACGTATCTCGCAGGAACTGCTCGTAGTATTCGTCCATCCATTGTACAGCAGCCATCCCGTTCTCCCTGGTGCCGTCGGCGAATCTCCGCACTGTTCCAACATAGCCATCTGGACGTACGTTGACAACAACGACCTCCTTCTCGTCAAGACCGTCCAGCCACTTGTCCATGCATGTCTGTTTCCGAGTGTCCTTGTCTGGAACATCATCAAGGTATAATGTGAAGGCGGACTCGCGAAGTACGGCTGGTAGGTCTCGAATTTCGAAGTTGTTGCGATCCTCGTCGGTCACTAAGGCATACGTGAAGACACCACTGACGGGAGTGTATCTCTCGGGCAAGACAAATTGGTCGTGGGGTGCTGCGAGAGGTGGCTGCATGGTGTATGAGGCGTTGCCAGCAGCTGTTACGCGGCCGACGTATGAGTTGTTTCCTATGTGTGAGTGGCACACGTTCTCCAAGAACGGCATGGATGCATGGACATTGTGGGTGAAAAAGTAGATGCGGAATTGACCGAGGGCGGGTATGTCGGTTTGGATGTCGACCGGATTGGCATCGATGTAGCGTGTGACCTTGGCAGGTGGGAGCAGGTAGCCCGGCTTCAGATGCCCTTTATTGTAACCCTTCGCTTGCACGTTGAGAGTATTGAGGTCGTAGCTGACACCATAGCCAGAGATGAACGCGACGTTCTTTGCGAAGTTCGCCGCAAGCGCTACCGGGTCTCCGTCGTGGAAAGCATTGGCGTGCTCGTAGTCGAAATCGATCAGGTCTTTGGCAATCTTCTGTCGTTCCTGCTCGTACGATTCGAGAAGAGCAGGCTTCGCAAGGCCGCGCGTCGCGAAGTTGAGTTTCCAGGCCAAGTTCCACGCGTCCTACAGAGAAAGAAAAGTCAGTGCATGTTTTACGTTCATTTCGTCCGGTAAGCACTTACATGCATCCCTGTGTTCATGCCCTGCGCCGCCTTGGGAGAATGGGTGTGACTAGCATCGCCAGCAATAAATACTCGTTGCTCGTGGTCAGTGAAACGCGCTGCGACTCGCTGTCCGATCTTGTAGCGTCCAAACCACTCAACAGTCTTCCACTCGAGTCGATATGGGCGCAGTATAGCCCGCGCCCGCTTTTGAACAAACTCTTGTGTAGTCTGCTGGGCTCCCACTGCCTCCGTCGAATCCGGCCGCAGTTCAATGTATAGACGGGTCAGACCTCTTTCGCGAGGGATCATCAAGACAGATCCTAGAGCGTCTGACTGTATGACCACCTTGCTCCAGATATCAGGAAAATCGGTTTCGAGGACACCATCGAGCACGCCCCAGACGGCATCGGTTGATGAGCCCACAGGCGTCGCTCCTGGTATGCAATGGCGGACTTTCGAATGAGCTCCGTCGCAGCCGACTACGAACCGTGTAGCGAAGGTCTTCTTGGTGTGACTGACGTCTTGCTGACAGTTGACCGTCAGTGGACGGATAGACATGGGTGTGTAGTCAAAATCGACGAAAGCCGTGTTCCTGGAGACGACGACGCCCCTTTCCCGTAGGTCGTCTTCCAAGACGCCTTCGACCATGCCCTGGTGTACCAGCAAGATGTATGGATCGAGTAAGTCGACTACCGGCGGGTAGTGAGTCTCACGACCGGTGCGGTGAAGCGACTTGTCGGCGGTTGACTTCCAGAAAGCAATGTCATAGATCTTGACACCCTTTCGCAGTAACGGCTCGGCAAGGCGCATCTGTCGCAAGGTCTCGATCGTCTTTGGTTGGATTCCGTCGGCGCGTCCGGTCGAGGTGCGGTCGGGTCGGTCGTCGATAATGCGCGTCTTGATGCCATATCGTACCAGGTTGTCGCTGTCACTGTCAGATACTGTTTGCTCAATTGGCCTGCATTACCTACGCAAGCATCAGACCGGCTGGTCCTGCACCAACGACCATGACATCGCTCATGAAGCTTGAGTAATCATCGTCTCTCGTATACGAGATCTGCGACGCAACCTCCAAGCTGTTGCCCGAAGAACGAGACCCGGAGTCTGGCACCGTAATGCCAGGAGCCATCTTCTGTCTAACCGATGACGGCGGACTGTTGGATGTTGAGCGCTTCATTAGGTTCCATAATGAAGGAGCCATGCTATAAGGCCTATGGGCTGCGCTGATGACCGGCCACTAGGGGCAAAGATGGGGGTCCGGATGTACGTGTGGAGGATGGAGGGGCATCGTTTG